TTTTTTTTTTTCACTCCCCTTCCCTTTTCTCACGGGTTGCTTTCTTATATATACCCGCCAGCCTTGGGTCAGAGGAGCCCGATTCACTTTGCTTTCGCGCTCCAGTTTCGACTTCTCCCCAGTGAGGCTTTTGATTGTGATCAAAGCACTTACCAAAGAATCGTCGTCAGCATGGTGTTCAAGCACCTGCACTCGTCACCGGGCTTCTCCAAACAGGTGATCATCTCTTTTTCTTTTTCGAGTTTTGTGAGTGAGTGCTGTGATCGGTGTGGCTTTTGAGAGAATCCAATCAGATTTTCAAGTAATCAAGCTAAAATAAAGCGAAGCTTATTCTCAGTGTCTGTCAAGACTTTTATTAAAAATGAATATAGCGACCCACAACACTAAAAAAAATAATATTCGTCTGCGTTAATTACTTTGATTACTGAGCACTTGAGCAATTATATGAGCTCTAAATATACTGCATAGTTATTAAACGTGAAGGAGCAAAAAAAAAAAAAAATTACAGCACCATGTTCGTAAAAGTTTATTGCAAAATATTTTCCCTGAAGGATTAAAAAAATATATATATTCTCGGATCTCCTGAATTGATCTCGATCGTGGTATTTATACCTTGAATAAAGGATTTGAGCCAACGACTTGAAATTTGGTGGAAGTTCTTTGTCATAGTTCTATGATATTTCTTGATGTGAATAGGACTTAAGTTCCGATTTTCTTCACTATTACATGTTAATAATCTTCGGTTTCAGATTAATTTTGGGATTTTTTTTTTGCACTTTCCTAGCGTCAAAGAGTTTTTTTTAATTCTGTGATTTGTTATTTTGGGAATGAATATTTTTTCATTCCTGAATCCTATGGTGAAAATTACTCGTGCTTATTTTTCTCGCAGCCAATATATGGTTACGTAACTTATTGCCGAAGTGATGAGCAGCAGTCTGTCAGAAATTTCTTCGGATTAATGAAGTTCTCCAAAGAAAATTGAATTTAGCTAAAAGTGTATAATAATGTTTTGCTTTGAAGTGGTGTGTTTTTTAATCGTCGCGTTGAGCCGAACAGTGCTTTTGAATTATGTGAATTTATGCTCACACGCCCTGGGTTGACCTGTAGATGGGATGCTCGTTGATGGGTTCGATCGCCGGGACCACGGTGGGCGTCTTCTCGGGTTATTGCTCCGTGGGGTTCCCCTCTTTTGATGCGGATCCCGAAGCAGCTTTCAGGATGTCCGAGGATCAACAATCGCTGATGGGTAAGCAAGGCAAATACATTCTAAAAATATAAAAAGACTTTTTCGAAAGTGTGTCCGAGTGATGATCTTGGGGTTGGATCACTGCTGATAAAAATTATCCGCTTACAGTATTTTTGAAATCTTCTCGAAGACTTTATATGAATTATTTGATTCTCAACTTATTCTTTGAAACTCCATCCAGATGTGATCTAATTTTTCATGCACTTTTCAAGTTCCGAAGACATTATTCTCGAATAATTTCTTATCCTTGGGTATGAGGGTATGACTGAGCCAGAAGCACGGTAACAATTACATGCACCGACAAACCAGTGCTAAAGTTTTTCTCTCTAATTTATAAACTTCTTATAATAATATTGTACTATATTTGACAGATTAAATACTCTGCTGAAATATTCATAACATAATCGGTTCTTGGTATCAACATGGAAAATTTGGGATCATCAGATAAAGGAAAAGCCATTTCCCTCTCACTTTTCTAGATTGAAAACAGATTCCGCGACGCTCTGATTCTTGATGTGTGTTATCGTTATTACAGTATTACCTAAGCTGTGCCACTCGAACGCTTTGAACATTTGGTAAACAAAAACAAAATGGAAAGACTATAACATTGATAATCAAATGCACATCCATACGCACAAAACGCGTTCTAAATGCTGTGTATGCAATAGAAAATGGGGTGGAGTCGTTTTATGTGAGAAAAGCAAGATCCTGAGCCATTGATTACGATCATTTGTGCGAAAATAAATTTGATTCGAAATTACTATATTCATATCATTATCACACTCGCGATTGTCTATATTGTCATGTACAGTATATCCAATTCAAGACTGAATCGACCTTTAAATTAATGCATCATGATAAAAAAATACTGCAATTCTGAGCAGTCATCATCAAATATTTGTATAAATTCTAAACTATACGGTCTTACAAACAGTCTAACTGTTCTCTGCATAATACTTGAACAGAAGCAAAAACAAATTTCATCGAATTATACGCAGAATGTTTCCAGAAAATTGTGCTATTGGTGAGAAGCAATCATGCCCTTTATTTAGGAAATATAAGACGCTATCAAATTTAAAAGGTCATAAAAACGACTTCTTCTCATCCTTTGGGACGATAATTGTCAACGGTACTGAAGAAATTTCCTTGTGGTTCGGGGAATGGTACTGAAGAGGAAATATACAATTTCTACTGCGTTTTGAAATAAGTTGATTTATACGTTTCCAATGCAAGCTCTCACCCGCTGAGGGACAAATTTAATGGACTTTCATTCAGGAAATGAAACTGTTGATTGTCAAGACAGCGAAAGTCGTGAATGTGTTCCCTTAAGTGGTCGAAAATAAATTTGTACAGTTCGTTAAATGCGGTATAAATTGAGGTAGTCCCTGGAAATGGTGGTACTGAGTCAGATGGAGGCACAGCATAAACTGGAGCATGTCTTTAAATTGGTAAATATTAGCTATAAAATGATCGGAAAAATCTAAAATAGAATGCGCAATTGAATGCAAGCTGAACCTTACTCACAGACTCAATTTTTCGCACCGGTTTTTGTTTTCTTCAGCATTTTATTTAATGCTCTCTATACATGATTATCTTATGCTCCGGATGATCTTATGGCTCCGGAGCACCACAAACAATTTCACCACAGTTTACATTTTTTCACCCATTTGATATTTGCAACAAAAAAAAACGTGCGAAGAACATTCTCAAGCGAATGCTTAATTTGTTCAGTTGGAAAGAACAAATAAATCACACAATCTAATGAATCGTGATTACCTTTTTTTCTCCCCGGAACAAATTACATGCATACTCGTATATAGCGAGCATCCCGCCGATCGGAGGCATCTTGGGGGCATTGTGCTCCGTTCTCCTCCTGCGGCGGATAGGCCGGAAGCAACTGTTGCACTGGTTCCAGCTTCCTATCCTCTTGTCCTGGCTATTCATTGCCTTTGGCAAGTCGTACCCATCCTTTCTGGCTGCTGCCGTGGCCCAGGGGCTCTGCGTCGGCGTCTTGATGCCCGCGGGGCAAATCTACCTCGGGGAGATCGCTAGTCCGCAAATCCGGGGCTTCATCGCCGGCTCGACCATGCTTTGGCAGGTGCGCAAAAAAAAACTAGCCTTTTTTAAATTCTTTTTACGCTTCAATTGTATTTCAGGATTTTATCGAGATATACAATTGCATGAACCCTCGAAAAATCGTCACAAAAACCTCCACCCATTTTTTTAGCGATGTCGGATGGTGTTACGAAGAAAGGAGAGAAATTGATGGAAAATTTGTATATCCGATTAAACGATAAAACAAAATTCACAGCCTCTGGAATCTCAAAAGAAGCCTTTTCATTGAATGAAAAAAATCCGATAAACCCAGGTATGTGTCTCAAGAATATTTTGAGAGGTTTCACAATGTAAAGTGAAACTTTGTACAAGTGTCGTGATAACAATTTCCTCAATGACTAAACATCATAATTTTTCTCGTTCTTTTTTCTTCGTCTAAAATTATCGTGTGTGTTGCAACCTCATTGATTTTACAGAATATAAAATACAAATACAGCAAATGAAAATTAAGTCGTTTTTCCTCATTTTAAAAATGAATTTGCCCGTCGTCTGAGTAAAAAAAAATTACTGCACCAAAATGTTTTTCATTGAAAATCTGGGGATGAGTCCATAACCAAAGCCTGACAAACATCTTTCAATAAATAAATAAACTGTTCTGAATTCGTAGGTTACAAAAAGTTCACAGTTTGTTTTGTTGAGCAAAGATGAGCTTCATTAATGAGGAACAATATCCGCCGAAAAAAACAAGATTTTTTGGCTGATCGTCCAGTTTGATTGTACAGTACAAAGATTTTTGCCATTCGCCCATAACCAAAATCCGACAAACATCTTTCAATAAATAAATGAACTATTCTGAATTCATAGGTCAAAAAAAGTTCACAATTTGTGTTGTTGAGAAAAGTTGAGTTTTATCAATGAGGATCAATGACCGCAGAAAATTTTTTTTTTCTCTGCTGATCATCCAGTTCGATTATGCAAAGATTTTTGCCATTGGTCTACCTGCATAGCATTTTCTTAAAAGCAACTCTTGCGTTTTACAAAGAATGAAATTTGTGTGCCGAACTTAATTCGTGAATTGCTTTTTCATCTTCATCAGAATGTGAGCGTCGTCTGCATTATATAAGCATCAGCTGATGCGAGGAAAGAAAATATTAACGTAATATTCCGTCTTCCGTTAGGGTTAACGCGGTACGTTCGAAAGGAACGCACGCACCTTCATCGACTGTCTCGCATATAGTCACTGCAGTATCACATCCTAGGATTTCTTGTGGGTTCAAAATAGCTGAAAATAATAAGGAAATATGCTGCTGAGAAAAACACAATTTGAGGCTTAGTTCAGTTTATTTGGCACTACAGTAATGAAGGCTTCTCTGATATGTAGTACCTCAAATTTTTCCTGCTTCCTGAAAAAGTTCATCGTAGGAAACACTCGCGGAATTATTTTCGAAGTGAACATTTCAACGCAGAATTAAAAAGAGAAATTAATTTGTGCTTCTTGTAATAGACTCTTGGTAACTTTTAGCAGACATTTTATGACCGCAGTGCTAATATTTTTTGTTTGAGTAGCTCTAATTTTGAAGCTTTTTTTTCCTCCCAAGAGAATCAAAAGTAGAAATTCAGGCTCTCAAAAAAAAAAACCAAGACCGCTTTTCAGCTATAAAAAAAATACAAGAACGAAACATTTCATTTTTGTTACGCGGTTGTCGTTTATTTTCTCCTCAACAATCTTAACTTTAAATCAACAAGAAAACTCGGGTTTGTTCGTCTTGAGGGCTGAACAGTGTTATCAGAAAAGCTCACTAATGAGGTTGCAACACTTCTCAGATTTGCCAATTTGATTCTACTTTTTTGTCTCAACTGGGTTTGAATTTCTGCAGGTATTTTACAACCTCGTGAACTACATCATGGGATCCGTGTTGACCTGGAAGGGACTCGCTTTATTCAACGCCGGCCTACATTTGCTTTATTTTGTTGGATCAGCATTCGCAATCGAGTCACCGGTTTGGCACATGTCCCGGGGTGAATCAGAGGATGCAAACAGGTGAGACTCTCAGCAATTTTAATTGCTGCATTAAAAAATTAATTCAGTTAATTAAAAAATGCTAATAAATTCATCGAGTCTTCGTTACGAATATCGGCTGCTTTTTTCTGCACCATCGCAGCAAGAGAATTTTGATTTTTTTTAAGGTTAAGCGTTGAGACATTTATCCAAAATTGCGTCGTCTCTCCGTATTTCTTTTTGATATCCATATGGAAAAAAATGCGGTTGAAATCCAAGAAGTGTTTGATTTGAAGTTCATGCTGTGACTGAGACACTTCCTAAAAAAGGTTTGAATATTTTGAAACCCTTCAAAAAAGAAAATAATAAAACAAAACAGACGAGAACTTGAAAAAATTACGGAACAATCCAAAATTCCCATTGCATGAATGTACAAATTTTGGACCTTTCCAGACCTCAGATTTACAATCTCCAAAAGCATTTTTTGACAGGCGAACTAAATAACCATCGGATTGTCAATTCGTTAACCAGAGCACACAAAAAATGACTTCCCGAATGCTAATACTGTATTGTAATATGTGCCTTTCATAGTTCCTAATTATTGCCCACAGCGACAATTTTCAAAAACTTCGAGTCGAATATTCCAAACTCAGATGAAATGCTGTCCCGAGATTCGCGTGCACACTGCTACATCAAACGTTAAAAAAAATGCGCTGCTAAATTTTAATGCCTTCAGGCGGACACAATGCCAAAGTAAACAATGGGGTGTGACGTATAAAATGACTCGGCATTCGGTTACCATTGTTTCTGCTCCGCATTCGGAACAACGACGAATGGGAACGTCTCATGTAACCGTAAACCCTCGGCAAAGAACGAATCTGGGCGTTACGTAATAATAAGCGTTTTGGTGTGATGGCTTTTTGATGGCGAACCCGAAGCGTTCCTTGCACTCTTGGATAATAAAGGGGAATGTGTATGGTACCGCTAACTTGATAAGATGCATTATTGTAAGAAACATTGGTTTTTTATTTATTTATTCTGAAATATCGCACTTCCTGTTTTGGACGTCCTAGTATCGAATGATCGAAAATAAGCGCAGTTGTCGCGTAATAATATTGTATTGGATACTTTACAAAGCATTTTTTAAAGTTCTGGTGACTCACGTTGAAATCGAGATGAAAATGCAATTGAGGAAATACCGTGTGCATGCCACACTAACTGCTACCAACTATATAAAAAAGTGGAAAAGAATTGCCTGAAGCAAAAGTTGAGATGCAAAAACGATTTTATTATTTAAAAAATGCTGTGATATAAGATATTTTAGTATTCCAATGTTGCATTATGCATGCGCCATTAAAAATAGTTTTAATTACAGTATTTTTTTTTCAAGCTTTACATTGGTGTGCTTGAAGACGTTCAAGGCAGTAATGATGCGATTTATGAAAAAAATCAGGGAATAAATCAAAATAATTCATGAAAAGTGAAACTTATGGTGATATTCTAAGCCCTGAACCTCTGGATAAATGACTTATTGACAGGATATGCTGCACATGGAGGCTTTGTTTCATTTGCCCCATTTTTGTCAATCAATTCCTTTTGAAATTCATCAAGTTGTATTTTCATTGATTTCCTCTTTACTGGATCCCCAGAATATTTGCCAAACGCCTCCAGGAACTTGATTTATGAGAAAATCTTGTAACAACAAAACCATTGGAATCAGTAAATGTACTTTGTTCTAATTTTCTTAATAAATACAGTAAAAACTCAAAAAAAATTGTGGTTATTCGGCAGGGACCTAAAATGGATTTTTTTGAAAGCAATATCAATTTGTTTTGGCAATATTTATTTTAAAAAGACTCATATTTACATACAGAGTAGTAATTTGCATAAAAATCGCAATTTGTTCTAGTAATGCATTCCTTACACAAGGTATTTTTTGTGCAAGACAAAAAATCCCTTTTCAAGAACATTGGGAAATGCAATGGTTTTGCAGTGTGTGCAGTTTTTATGTGAAAAAATATTTAAGGTATGCAGGTGAGTGCAGCAGCATTTTTCATGCAGATTTTTTTTCCTGTTGGGTGTCATTATTTATGGTACTGTATCACTGTAAATTTGAGGCTAAAATCGTACAGAGTTATGCTGGAAGGTCTATCATGCATTGTTCAATATGCTGGTATCCAGACAGAGACTAAACAAAACTTCAACATGAGGAGGTTTTTGACTGGAAGAGGTTCAATTTATCCAATTATAACTGTATGTCCAGCGTCATCCAAGTTAATTATGATCCTTTTGAACATTTGCTAATTTTTATTTGAAAATGAATGAATGAACAGAACACTTCATTTGCCGCTTTTCAGCATTCACAAGGTTCAATCAAGATTCCCACAAGACAACCAAACCCCCTTCCCACCCAACCCAAATCCACTCAATGATATTTTAATAACTTCAGATTAGGAAAGCACAAATTGATAAAAAAATACAATACAACATGAAATACAAAAAAACACTTGAAATATTATTTAAAAAAATACACTTATTAAAAAAAAACACTTTTCTTCCTGTCAATCAAAGATGCATGAGGTCACTGGGCAGAGAGAAGGAGCAAACCCTCGACACCCTGGCTCTACCCCCGTCACCACCACCACCACCACCACCGCCACCACCCTCCGACATGCAACCCGACTCCCATCAGAAACCACCGTCTGGCAGCACGGTGGACTTTTCCTCTTGGCTCCTGCTCATGAGGAAAGAAAACTTCGCACCTGTCCTTCTCCTGACTGTTCTCGCCATCATGCGTCAGTTCACCGGCGCCTTCGCCGTCATCTCCTACACAGTCGCCATTTTCAAGTCCAGCGGCGGCGGTCTGTCCCCCTACGCGTCCACCATCGTCATCGGCGTCGTGCAACTCATCTTCGTCGTCCTTTTCAACGTCACCACGGACAAATTGGGTCGGAAACGACTCATTGTCGGGTCCGGGGCCGTCATGTCAGTCTCCTTGGCCGTGTTCGCCATCCATTTGTACTTGACGGACGCCGGAATACTGGCCAGGGGTTCCTGGGTCCCACTGGCGACCATGGTCGTCTGCATCGCCGGGTTCTCCTTCGGGATCTCTCCGTCGCTGTTTGTGCTCATGAGCGAACTCATGCCGAAGGAGGTAAAGAATGTGGCTTCTGGGATCGTGGCGATCGCCAACAATGTGTCCAACTTCGTCATGCTCAAGACGTATTATCTCATGCGGAACCGGATGACGAACGCGGGGCTTTTCGGGTTCTACGGTGCGGTTTCCTTCATCCTGACCCTGGTTTGCGCCTTTTGCATTCCGGAAATCAGGAGAAAAAAGGTGGAGGACTCGGTCCCGAATGCCGTTGTCGTGGTGGAAGACATTACGCTGAAGCAGGTCGAAGCCAAGATGAATAAAATGGGAGACATGGACCACGTACAGCAACCTGAAATTTTCACTGTGAGGAAAATCGAGGAATGATTCCAGTTTGTTTGTTTGTTTTTTTTTTTTCCTCGTCAAACCGCTGGAATGAGAGTGATCATATTGTAAGTGTTTGTTCAAATGTGTGCTGCACAAAAATAAATTGCAGGTATTTTTCTTACCTTTGTGTGGACAATTTCTTCCCGCGCGCTCTTGACTTTGATACGAATTTCAAGTTACAAGAGATAATCTACAGGTTTAAAGCTTACAAATCACTGTTTATTCTCCGGAATAATAATTCAGATTATCTCGTAAAAACAATGAAACATTTTTCATTACATTTTTTTCGTTTTTTTACGTTTAATAATAATTTGTCATTGCATGAGCAATACGCCATATATTTGAAACATATGATCACTCAGAAAAATCAATCTCATGCTTGATTTCGGCGGTTGCAGATTGAATGTGAGTAATTTTAGTTCTTCGAGTCTCTTCTGAAATTTACCTAAAATCGTAAAATGATATTCATATTTTCTTGGATCTTCTTTTTTTCTCGTTTCCCTGTAAGTTACTTGCCAAAATGACGAAGGAGGGAAAGATTCAATTGGCTCCAAAAGGAAGCTTTCCTGTCCAAGTTCCAAGCATAAACTTGATGGAAAAATTGACAAAGAATTGTTTGTAATTATTTCCATTGTGTTTTAAAATCAATAGGAGAAGAGAAGGATGGTTTTTCAGTTTTTAAAATTGAAATACGGGCGCGTACGAGTCTAAAAATGACATGGTATGTTTTGGTAAGCAAGATTTCAAGTTTTAATCGATAAGAGTCGAAAAAATTGAGGATTTTTCTTTGGTTTTTGAATAAAATATCGGTAAAAATCTAAAGATGGCAATAAATTTCTTGGTATATAAGATTTCACGCATTAAAAAAGCGTGAATATCAGGAACACTTGTGGAATCGTTTAAAAAAAATTTAAATCTCGGAAAAGAGTCAACGGAATAATGATAACCAACAACTTTTATGCTTACTTCACAAGAAAATATAACGGAATCACGGATACTTCTTGGAAAGAAATGTCTTTATTCTGATCTTTCCCAACTCTTTTTCCGTTGGTGAACTGAACAGTTTTCCAACATTCCTTTACGCGCAAAATGTCTGCATCAATTTCTTGTCAGACGACATACAAGGGAAACCAAACCGAAAAATTCTCAGACGGCAGCAACTAATTTCCCGGTGATTACATGGCAGTGCTTTCTCGTCAAGACAGCTCTCTTTTTCACATGTAAAGAAGAAAAATATAGTCTTTACAATAGATCGATTCTCGAACACAAATCCGAAAGTGGCAAGAAAGTGTTATGAAAAAAAAAAGGTTTTCCGAAAATGTGGGGTGAAAGGAAGAATGACGAGGGTTCGACTAAAAATTCCGGCGGTCGTTAAAGTCTTGTCCCGCTCCTGTGTCTTGTCCGAAGCATGAGGGCAACCAGTCCAACCAATCGAAACCCGACAATCAATGCCAACAAGCTCAGGATATCCGTGGCCATATTGTCCTGTTTGATTTTGCATCATATGACCAACAAACAAATTAGTAGTAATAACCATGCTTCGAGTTTACGTAGACGATGGTTGTCCAAGTTGGACGCGACCTCTGAAGTTTTTCAAGTAGGTGCAATTGTGGAAAAAAAACTCATGGCATACCTCATAATTTTTCAAGGATCTGGGATTTTTTTCATACAGGTATTTGTAAACCAAAATTCATTTTACAGCAAGATGATGAGTAAACAATTTCCAGTTGTAACAGCCAGAGTTCTCCATCCTGTCACAGCGGGGGCTTAAAATTCGTCAGGCTAGATAAAAAGTTGAATTGTTGTTATTTTTCCCATTATCTTTTCTAAATTTTAGATAATTATTACAGCAAAAATACCTTTTTCTAGCCTGGCCACCTTTTAGCACCCTGTGACATACTGTGCAGGTGGTACCTTGCAATTCAACCCTAATCCATTGCTGGACGCTGGACTTGGGTCAAATATTGAAGTAGTCAAATTTTGAGACAAAATCAAATGGCATGTTTTCTGCATGGCATTTGATGCTTCACGTCTCTCGTCCACAGGTTGAGTTGCAAGGTAGAGGTCAAATTGAGAGTTGACCCCCCAGCAAAGTTGACTGTCAAATTTCGGGACAGTCCAATTGCAGGAGGTTGAATTGCGAGGTACCACCTGTATTTTGAGAATCCTCTGGCCATAAGAAGTAGCTGGAAAGTTTTTAGTCCATCATCATCATTCAATAAATTGACAACTTTTTAAAATCCTTTCTTTTTAATCCCAGGACCTTAGATGCTTAGAACATCATAAGCTATTTTATGATTTTTTTATAATCTCATCTATACTTGAAAATTTTCAGAGGTAGCGTCTGACTTAGGAAAAACATTTAAAAATGAAATAAAAATAAATGAAAGAAAAATAAATAACTAAATAAATATATATATACAGTACATATGTATATTTATTTATTTATTTACGTATACATATATTTTTTTTTGCTGACCGGGTTGAAGCTGAAGCTAGCCAACACGGCTTTGCCGTCTTTTGGACACACAGAATTGATGTCTGGGGTTACAGGGATGTTTGGGGGTCCATAGGGATGCGGTGGGATCGTGAAGTTGGTGTATTCAGAAGGAATGACATCGTCGAGCAGTCTGTGACTGCAGTCGATGTGCCCGACGTTGCTCCATTGGTTGATTGCCAGGGCTTCGTTTCCGTACAAGAACCACGAGAGGTACTTGAGCCACAAAAGAGCCTTGGGAACGGATCTTGGGAATTCCGGAGAAAATAAAAGATAAAGTGGCATTACAAGCCAAAGTCCGCAACAACAACAAAAAAGAAATATTTGAAGGTGCTGAAAAATTTAAATGTTGATCCCGCTTTCCGCAGAATTGATTGAACAATTTTCATCGCTGTGATCAAAAGATTCCAGGATTTTTCCCCCGCTGCCATCCCAGTTGTTTCATCGATGAAAAGTACAGAATGAAGTGTAATTTTGATAATCTCATGCTGATCCGACTGTCATTCGAAGTAATTTTAACATATTCATAGGTGTGGCGAGAAAAGGTTAAATTTGCTTATTATGTAAGGAGTTCAGTTATATAATATACCATCATAATTGATTGTACTGTAATTTGCAATTGTAATCATTTGAAGTTTTTGTGATACATTTTCGACGATCTTAAGAAAATACAGTCTGATTTTCAACTTTAAAAATCAAATGCTGAATATCTCGTTGTCAGTCAAATCAATTGTTCATTGCTGCGATCAAAACATGTCCAAATTTGTATTCTGCTGCGAGTTCAGTCATCTATCCCATCAAGATTTTTATAATTTTCAATTTTAATCGTACTACGTTTTTGTTATATGTTTTCCTACGATCAAGAGATATACGACTTATTTATCGCAGCCATTTTTCGCATTAAAAATAATATGGTACTATTTTTTTGTTTATAATCCTTTAAAGTGTTCAGTGATCGAGTGTTTTTTACGATTACGATAGATGATATAATACTACAGTATCGTTAATTCTGCTGATACAGTCCAATTACTTAGTCCATGAAAAATACAGCTTCCTTTCCGATACAGAAAATAAAATGCTGAGTTCGCTATCAGTCCAATCAATTTTACAATTTTATCGCTGTCATCAAGAAAACCTCGTGTTTATTTTGTTCACAGCGGTTCAGTCATGTTCACCATGAAAATGCAATCCTTATAGGGATATTTTTTTATCAACTTCAGTTTTATCGCTGCAAAACTCTCGAAGTCACTGATGTAGTACTTGACAAGCTTAAACGCAGCGTTAAAATTGTAACTGCATTCGAAAATGCGTGAACAAATTTTCCACGGGGAAATGTTGAGTTTGGACATTTTTCCAATGCAAAATAAAGCGTACTACAATCTTGCAGAATAAAAATTCCGATCAATGAATCAACTAACCCGTTGTTCAGGTAATATCCACCGAGCAACATAAACGGAACTATTACTGCTGGTCCGACTGCAAGACCCATGTGCATGTTGCTGCTGATGCACGAAATCATGTAACCTGAAAAAATGCGAAAATAAATGTATCCCTCACATAAAAAATTTCTCAAACATTAACCACAATAACCAGAGCATTGCGAAAGGTTTTCCGGGTCCTAAAAGCTAACGGTTCATGAATCGATTCGTTCGCTTAAAAAGAGTGAGAACAGAAAGAGAAACAGAAAAGGGTTGATCGATTTTTCTTTTCGGAGGTAACAGTCCAACGATTTATGACTTACTGCCTCAGTGAAGGAGGTGAAAATGTTTTGCATTCGGAATGAGCAAGTTTCTTAATCAAGCAAAAGTATGTATGAAGTAAATATAACGGTATTTTGCAATGGGTTACCGAGCGTTATTTAAAACAGTCACTCAGAAAAAAAGTTCATCTGCTGAATTGCAAGTAATAATCACATGGTTTGAAGCTGATGTTTATTCTAGACTACGTAGTGAGTCACTGACATTTTATTTAGTTTTTGTCATAAACCGTGGAATTTTGCTGATCACGAAAGGGTAAAAAAATCATTGGAACCTAAAAAACAAAATCCGTTGTGATGCCAAACTCCTTCTACCGAGGCTGATAAAAACGTACGCATTGAAGACTTCGAGGAACTTGAAAAAAATCTTTAAAGTATAATTATTATTCATAATAATCAGGTTTGTTGAAATACGATCCGATGTACTTTAACTGACAACGAACGAAGGTCTGGGACAAGTTAAAAAGTTTCGTCCTCAAAAGATGAACAGCATGCTTAATAATATGAAGTACGGTTCAGAAAAATATGAAAATAAATGAATCATTTATTGTTATGTGTCACTGACCAAATGAACAAGCAGCATTGGCGACCAAAACAGCGACCCCGCAAGTGGTCAGAAAGTTCTTCACCCCCGAAGTGAGTCCGATGAGGAAGTAGACACACGTGGAGAAAATCAGCGGTGACACGATGAACAATGGCAATTCAGCGAGCGATTTGCACGCAAAATACACCGTCACTCTGTACATGCCGGCTTCGTGCTCCTTCAGGAAAATCGGGTACTCGGAGCAAAAAACCTGTCCGAGCCACGCAAGCAATAAATCTTGCGGTTCTTTTTTTCATTCTATTCTTTTCTTCTTTTTTTTTTTTCCTTGTGGTGTTGATATTTTATTTGAGCATTTTCTTCTTGCACACCCCGCGGCGAAAATGAAACAAGTGAAACTGGGTTAGAATAAAGTTCAACAATTCGGGGCAATCGAAGACTAATAATCCTGCAATAATCGATCAGCAAGCGCATAAAAAAATACTTATGCTGATTTGCTCCAGTATTTTAAAAATCGAGTCGTCTAGAATCTAAATGTATAGATAGACGCACAAATTATGATTCGAAAGGATAGTGTGCCCTTTTCTTGACACACCTCTTTTTTACGACTGCTGAAGTACTGTACCAACTTTATTTTTTGCAAATCGCGTTTACGAACGATATTACGATCGTCAATCATTGCTGTGAACTACGAAAGGATAGTGTGCCCTTTTCTTGACACACCTCTTTTTTACGACTGCTGAAGTACTGTACCAACTTTATTTTTTGCAAATCGCGTTTACGAACGATATTACGATCGTCAATCATTGCTGTGAACTGCTGTATAAAAAGGAGCAGTTCTCATACTTTCATTTTGGCGAACATGAAGCGTTTGCCTACCAATTACGCCGAAATTATTTTTGTAAAGAAGTTATTTCGGAAGAATGAAATCAAATACTGAATCATGGCTATAACTGATGAGACTTAAAATGTTGCAGTGTACTGTACTGGACCATAAATTCGTGAATAAAATACAATAAATTTAATAAAATCGGTGAATAAAATACAATAAATTTAATAAAATCGGTGAATAAAATCGGATATGATATCGTGAATAAAATATTGTACGCATATTTTCTCGGATATGATTAGCCGAACTTATTCCATGTTCAAATTAAGATTCTGGTCTGTTTTTAGATTTCATGTAGATTCTACTGTACTTGAATCGATCTTTTCTTTTTATTCAGAATCAAATATTCAGGCATTTCATAAGTCGATCACGAGGGATTTTCGGACCTAATGACATTATTGTGTAAATAATTCACGAACATTCCACGTTTTTGCTACACTATAAGGTATGCATCCAAATATCTGCCATAATTAATTTATTATGCAGAATTTTTGTTGTTGTCTTGAAATAGGTGGAAGATTTCGGTGACGGGAATAAAAAAAAGGACTCACACTGACGACAGCAAACGCGTTTTGGAACGTCATGTTCGCGACGAGGAGAAAAAGGGCTCCGCTGATGTTCATGATGCCGAAGTTTCACTGAGTGTGATCTTTCAAGGTCAGTGACGAATTCATTCACGCCATCACAGGTGAGTGATTGAATGAATTCTTCTTTTCTTTTCTTTTTTTTTTTTTTTGCATCGCACATAAATTAAATCATTTACTCTCTGGTTTTTATTCTTGATGATGAGGTACCTTCTGAACCACGCACTTTAAATTTAAGGAGTACATTTAAGATATTCAGTCCACACAATTTAGTTTTCATTCTTTTGCTGAGTAGCCCAGCGCTGAAAGAATATGAATAAGGCTGAAGTTGAATAGTTTTACCCGCATGGAACAGATATATTTTTGTGAGAGAATCCAACTTATTTCTCAATTCAGCATTTCCTAGCGCAGCGTCATGGGAATAAATTTACTTTTCTGAAATTCCGTTTTAATTATTTTTCACGTTGAAAATCTAAAATTCAAAAAAAGTTTAAGCTCACAAAAAAAATTAAAGAACAAATTTCAAGTCTAGGAACATTTAATTGTTTCTTTTTGGTTTTTTTATTTTACTTTCGAATGTCATGTTTATTCATTGAGGATTTTATTATTCACTTTATTGATAACCAGAAATGGTGGACGGGCTTTTTGTGGGGATACCTTTTTGCTGAAATTTTCCGCTGCAAAATCAAGTTGAGCATCTTTTTGAGGGCACACGATACTTGAGGAAATATGCCTTTTTTGATGGGTATTTTTCAATTTATCTGATTTTCTAATGTTACTGCCACTAAATTATCATTGCTGATGAAACTGTGCATCCCAAATAACGGTTTAAACTTGATGCTTGCGTTTCTGTTTTCATTAATTTTTTGCAGTGCCATAAAAATGTCATGACAGATTCATTCAATTCAAATTCCAACCTGGAATTTTTCCCGTTTTTACAATTTCATGTACTGTAATATAGAAATAAAGCTGAAGCCTTCTGTTTATTTACGTAAATCGAGAATAATGTGCGGGAATAAACAACTTCCTTAAGAACTGAATGCTGATACTGTATACAATATATACGTAATCTGTTGACTGAAACTTTATCTGCTCACGATTGCAACAGCAGGTCCATTAAAAAATTTTCGAGAAAGTTTACGCAAGACTTTGGCCTATGCGAAAGATTTTATCATTTTTTTTTATCATTATCATTAGGATAAAATATCGAGGGGTCTCCAGAAACCGGGTGTTAAGAAATGTTTCCACGAACTCTGAATTGCTGATGACGACCCGAACCTTTGACGCCTGCTGCCTGAAGGCATGTGCGATCCCGCCGGCGCACTCGGAATTTATTCCATCAATTGGGAAAGGTTTTCCCGATGATGATGATGACGATCATCGCGCGGCTTCGTTCGTGAACCGCCGACAAAAGATTGTTTGTTTTTTTCGCCTGATAGTTTATCATTAAATTTGTTTTCCATCTCTTTATTTGTTGAACACAGGATCGAATGCAAAAAAAAAAAAAAGAAGTAGGGAATTGAGAGGAAAAAGAGAACGAAAATGGGGCTCTCACGATAGTTTCCAGCACGCGAACTTTGATGATGATGGGCTCTCGGATCATGGTGAGCCAGGAGCGCCAGAGCAACGCCTTGCACTGCGCAGTCCAGGGCACGCGGTAGGGAGACAGGGTCCCCGCTGCTGCCACATGCTTGCGACTCTCCGTGTCCTTCGCAGCACTCCGCTTATTCTTGCTGCTGCTGAATGCCGAGCCGAAGAACCGCTTTTTCCCACTGCGAAAAAAAAGAAAGAAAATAAAAGAAAAAATTTGAAAGAAAGACCACACCAAAAAAATAAGAGAGAAAAAAATATAAATAAAAATATTGTATATTACTGTTGTTATTGGACGACGAGATAGCCGTTATCAAAAACCGCGGTGCGTGATTTATTTTTTTAATTGGCTGCTTCTGGGAATATAAAGTACAGCAGTACCACTTTTCCAGGCGAAATGATTGACATGAACCAGAAAAAGGTTTTTCTGTATTTTCTTTCGGCGTAATCATCATGGAGTCATTTAAACAGGCGTTTCTCTTTCTCCTTCAAAATTACAGAAAATTTATAAGTAATGTGAGTTGGGAAAACAATAAGCGATCGAACTACTGTATATCGAGGGTTTTGATCGAGAGCATTAAAAAAATACTTGGTGCAATGAAGATATTCATTCCCTGATATTTAATCAGTGGTATACTGTATATTTGGAATGAAAACAAAACATTGCACGTGAAATCACATAGTTAAGTCGGTAACAGTATATTTTCAAGAAATCGTAAAAATTTGGTTGTAATTGCTCAAGTTGGATACAAAGGAGATATTAAAATTATCCTTTATAAATGAAAGTTGAGACAAGCTTCATCCCAATGGTTGACGATGGGGGTTTAAATTGTGCTGTTTTAATTAAAGTGTTCGACAGCTACCAGCCAGAAAAAAATACTGAAAGTATTTTCATTTATTACATTTTTAGGGCATTACAAATTTTCAAACATTTTTTCGAACAATCTAAAAAATTTCAGAACTACCTAGGTTTGCAGAAATTGGACAGTTAACAGCTTCCGATTATTTTGTGGCTTTAAAAAAGAATTTAATTGAGCTACTAATGAACAGTGAAGAAACAATTTTGAGAACCAAAAAATGTAATCTATTGGCAGCTTTTTCTTTATACATTGCAGCAACTAGTGGACATACATTTTTTGTTCATCGAGGTATTCTTTATCCATCTTTGGGTCACATTTACAATTAAATTCGTCCGTTCTGTGAAATTTCGTGCAGAAAGTTTGGGGGTTGTTTTGCCGAGCAAGACATCAAGGCATACCAATTGAAATAAACGTAGTCAAACTGGATCTATTTAAGAATTGAGTTCATTGTCTGCTCGAGAAAACTAAATGCATTTTTCAAAGTGACAGAAATCCCGAAATTTTTTGAAGGAATAGGAAGTTTTATATACATGCGAAAACGAAAGGGGGCTTGGCGAACATTTTTGTAAAATCTTATTGGCATTGGGGACTAGATTGAACACAATTATATTCTTTCAACTTACTCAAACTGTCTTCGTATACTCTAGAAATAAAAATAAAAGCATCTTTTTGTGCGATTGAATTTCAAAAAATGCTAGGAATATCAGTGGAGAAAATGCCGCCATATCAAGAAAATTCGATGGTCCTCATAAAATCGTTTCATTCTACTATTTAAAACCTTAGACAACTCCGAGCAAACCATTAAATAATTTTTTACATGTTACATACTGCTCAATTTTATATTCTTGGTCTTGCTTTGATGAGAGTTAGTTTTCTACGGCATATTCCAAAAATTTCCTCGTTATCACTTTTTCGAATTATTCACTTTTTTCAAAGTAAATTTTCTCCCAGAAAATGTATCAACGAGTAAAATTTTCCCTTCTTTTCATACGTAAAATATTTTTTGCAACAAAGACGTTTTTTGGCCAGAATTTTTTTTATGCCGGCCTTTGCTCATTTTGCCTGCCGAATCGTTACTTTTCGAGAAATCGGGCTCGGAACCTGGGACGCACTTGATGTCGGCATTGTTGATGGACGCCCCGTCGACGTCATCGTCGTCATCGTCGTCCATCTTCGTCAGTGTCGCGTACTCGCCGGCCTTTGATGAAGCAGCCACAATGACGTCATGCGCTCGAGCAAATGCGTCGCAGATTTTGCGGATCCTGGATCGACTCGCGTCTTCGTCCCCGGGTCTCACTGCCAATGTTTGAATGAAGAAATCCGCCGGATTGTGGTTCTCGGGACACGGGTATCCTAAGCTACAATAAAGAAAAAAATACAATATATATAATGAGGAGAACCCACTGAGCGAAAACCCGAAGAAAGCTCGTGAACTGGACGATATTAACTCGCGGTAGCATGAAAAATAGAGCACGAGTCGAAATTGCAATTTCAATTTAATAAATCAGGTATTGAAATAGGAATCTCGAAAGTGAAAGTCCAATAAAAGCAAATTATAATTAATGACCTGGCTTAATACCCACATGACCTAAATAAAAATTAAAAGCTACAATTACAATTGCCCATAATAATACAAACCTAATTTGAACTACCCTGACGTTATCTGAACATTTTAGACCTGCTGTTTGTTGTTCCATTTACTTTCCATGCTTCAACTTCATCGAGGTGTGATTTCTTTAATTTGAATCTTGAAAACAGTTTGTCTCAGATTACTTTCGAGATTTAAAATGCCTATATTTTTACCTGTACCTGTACTTCGAAAAACTTCCGCAGTTCGAAGCTGAAACTGCCCAAATGAACCTAATTTTATTTTATTATCAAAGACTGAAATGCGAACTGCGCAAATGATTAACGTTGTCTCAAATTTATATCACCTAGTACTGTATAAAGTTTCCACAGAAATTTGGTTTTATTTCTGTTTTGAGTTTTGCCTTCGCTTTCAAGATCTAATCATTCCCTTGCAGCAATCTAATATGATGCATATTACATAACAGTAAATTTCTTCATAATATGGATTACATAAAGATCATTTAAAATTCAATTGAAGCAAAGCCGCGTTTTATATAAATTTTTTTCTTTAATGAAAATAAATTTCTTTCGAACAAATCGTCATGTTATGTAATTCTTTTCAACGAGTTTGCGAATCAGCAGCATGCAACGTCTCATTTTATTCAATACGCATACGTGACCCGGATATACGCATTAATGATTCATTTTGCAGAATGACGAATTAAACAGCGGATCGTGACCTTTCCCAGGAATGGCAAATCGATTTGAACACCCGATGGGGAAATAAAAATAAACCAACGAGCCAATGAAAATCCCGGGAAACGCATAAATGTGCTATTTTGTCTCATTAATCTTGGCGTCAAACAAAAACAGGAGATAAATTGTCGCGAAAGTGCAATTTCTTCCTTTGAAAGCCCTGACTATCCTCCTTTTGTTAATCATCATTGAAAAATATTCTGCCAGCTGCAGAACGAACATTTGAATAAAATGCGAGGAAAAATCAAGAAAATTTCTTTCTGATCGTGAGCACGTATTTTGCTGAGTTTTTCAACTTACTTGCGCATTTTACCTTTACAAGGTCTGTACTGCCGCAAATACCCTCTGTTGGCTCTTGTCGACCACACACTTCAAAAGTTTTTGACTCATGCCATGTACCAATAAATCAGACGAAGGTCGAAGGATCTGAATTTTTTTGAAAATGTATTTTGCGAAAATTAAACTCATTAAACAACCCCAGTGAAACGAAATTCGCTCAGTGATCAAGGTCTTTATACTGATTGGCGATGACTAATAAAATAACCATTTTAAATGCGTGAAGTTTTTTCATGATATTATTTCTTTGTTTAATGATCGACTCACGATTTCTTCGTTTCGAATTTTTCAGAATTGTAAACTAAGAATGGCTAGAGAAATGTAGAAAACCCAATACAGTAAAAAAAATCTCGTTTCAACCAATAATTGCTTACAACAACGCAGTTTTTTAGGTTCCAGCCCAAGAATAGCCGCAATTTTAAATCAGTCAATTAAGATTTAAAAAATCGTTAAAATTAACGAAGCTATTTAATTGGCCCGATAATGATTTAGTCGTAACGATATTTTGGAACATTAAAATTGTTTCTCTCCATTTCAATTTCCTGTGAACCAATACATTTTTTCGACTATCCCAGATGTGCTTCCTATCTAAATCTGGTTTTGTTTTTCATTAGGCTAACGTATAAGGGATTGTGTCCATGCTAGGTCACCAGCCTGAAGTCTGGAGTTCCCGCGAAAAACTTCATTTGAAATATAAAATGAATTTACAGCAGTGTTGCGAGCCGAGACCTTTTCAGCAAGAAGTATAAACCCATGCAAGGGATGAGGAAATTGAAAGATAAGAAAAGAGGATTTACTCTGAAAAGAAGGCGAGAGCAGTGTCAGTGTTGCCGAGGAATCCGACGCGGCCCTCGGCGAGAAACATGACCCTGTCGAACAGGGAGTAGACGAGTGACGACGGTTGATGGATTGTCGCGAGGATCGTGCGACCTCTAGACGCCATACTTCGCAACACGCCCACCACTGTGCCGGCCATGTACGAGTCCAGACCTGATGTGGGTTCGTCGCAGAAAAGTACGGCCGGGTTGGTCAGCACCTGCAAAATGGCAACCATGGCGAGATAATTTTCCGATCGATGTACAGTATTCACGAAGATATTTTTTAATGGTATAAAGAAAAATAATTGAATGCGCATCAGGAAATTGCTCGTGGGACGTTTTAGTGAAATGATGTACAATATTTTTTGGCGAATTTATCTTGATGCTGAAATAGCTGCAGATCAGTGAAGAAAGAATTTGATTATGAGAGCAATTTTTAGAAAGAAATACATTTCAGAATCCAGTGATTGGTAATGCGACAAATTGTTTGATGAGTTAGCAAAAGAGACATATTTTCCTGAATAAGCTGCTAATTTCAGATAACATTGCAGATTTTGCCTTTCGAATAAGAAATCAGTTTATTTTTATTCTTTGGACCTAAGCGTTGAAAGAATATAGTTGTAATTCTCAATCCTCTAGTCCTGACAACGACAGCAGAACGAAAAAAAATCCTTAAAAAAAAACCTCAGAACGGTTCATTTCTTGCGAGATAAATCAAGCCGGCCAATGTTTAGTTCAATCAGTCCAACTGCCAACAAGTTTGGTACTGTATGTAAAGAGCAGATAAACAAACAGTCAAATTTAAACGGGGTGGAACAAATCTTCACCAGGGCAAGGTTCATTTGTGTGTTGTACTAAAACGTGTTCAACGCAACGTCTAAATAACTACTAAGTTGATCGTATACGCAGTAGTACGTACTACAGCTTCTTCCTAAGCGCACTATACACGTGCATAGAGCAGACTGCAACGTGAATTAACGATTTATTTTTATGGCTTAATGTCGCGATTTATTCTCGATTTCTCTGCAATATACACAGAGTGCGAAGCACAGGAACGATGCCAAAGGTTCCTTGATTTCATTTTCTATTCCCAGTATACAGTAGTTTCTAATTTTTGCATATAGGGCACTTGAAATTATCGGATATTTCAGGAAAATTCTGATTAAATGATTTCCTCTTCGCCACGGTGCTCAAAATGCGTAATACTGCGGATTTTGCGGTCATATATACCGCACTGGATATGTATTCAAGGATGAAATTAAAAGCCAGCAAGATGGGCACTCAAATTTTAACGGTTTAGGTACTGATGAAGTCTAAAAACCTAAGTCTTACAACTTAAGGTGTCGTTGCCCAATAAATCTGCTAAAGCTCGATCAAAAATTACGTTGGCTCTCGTCAATCGAAGTATGACAAGAAAATTAGAAACGAGCTGAAAAATTTGTTGACATCGGAGGATGATGATATATGCAAAATAAGACAGAATATCGAATCAAGCTAACTGTTTAAATTTCAAACAAATGTTAGTAGATTTACCATTATATTTTCAAGCTGCGCTCGTGAATCGGACGTCTCACATAATTTCACTCTTCTATTAGCGACATCTAAGTGAGTCTTGGAAACTCTTCATAAGCAGAGTGCTACAGGGGTCGCTCACCTCAGATGCGAAGGCAAGGCGTCGCCGTTCTCCGCCGGATATGCCGAAGTCGCCTCCGACGATACCGATGAGATTATTGGCACACTTCACCAATCCAAGCTTTCGCAACAAAAGAAAAAAAAGAATCTGAGAATTTTCTGAACGTTTCCCTAATTGTCTGCCGAAAATTGCATTACATGTTGCTCGTTGGTTCTTTGTTTACCATGGCTTAAAAACGATTTTAGATGTACTGTAGTGAGTTTTCCATTTTTTAAAAATTTATTGATCTTGATACTCGGCTTCCCCATTTGGTCGCAAGCTGAAGAAAAAACAGGCAACACAAACAACCAAAACAAAAAACCTGAACAAACGTGATACATTCAAACAAATATAAAAAGCCCAGCTTTGTTTGGGCTCTGATTGAGTCCAAATTTCGCATAAAATAACAAAACCAGCTCAATGTTGAAACCCTCATAATATTTCTCCCAACATAGGACACGATTGTTGATGACCTGAAGAATATCTTTAAAAATGGATACTCTCAAATTCCCTTTTTTAAATCTTTGGCAACCACATGTCTTCGTCATGAGAATACATTACACAGAATTGTGCAGCCTTTTATCGTACGTGTAGATATACACTGAAGCATCAGTGGTATCAATGGAATACTGCTGTACTCTCATTATATGAAAGGATCTGGAAAATCAGTTTTCTTATAATATTCGCGATTCATTTTTTTTCCTACATTTTCCGCGAGGTACAAAAAAATTGAATGTGTGCATATATGTCAAATGATTAGACCTCGTATGTGCACGCGATTAAATACTTAACCACGGGATATTCACCTCAGCAATGACGTCCTCCACGCGAGCCATCTTGGTGTCAGCCGACATGGCGGCCGACGGGATCCGCACAGTGGCCTGGAACTGCAAATGCTCCCTGACTGTGAGATTCGGCATGAAGAGGTCGTGTTGGGTCACGTACGCCGAAACCGCGGTCAACGCATTCGCCCCCGCTGGCGCCCCATTCAGCCGAATGACGCCACTCACCGCCGTGGAACTCTTGGTCCTGCACGTCAGCGCGTTCAACAGCGTGGTTTTCCCTGCTCCGCTAATAATTTGTCGGCAATAATAATGAGAAGCAAATGAAATGCATTAATTGACCAGGAAGCATGTTTCTGAAATAGTCAATAATTGCAGATGATCNCTACCCGTGAGTTTAAAATTGCCAAATCCATGACTACTTCAGATTTTTGGATTCAGAATGTTGAATTCCACAGCAACGGGTTATTTAGACGATTTCGAGCTAGTTTTTAATGCAACCGAGAGCAGTTGCGAAGTTTGACAAGAAAATTAGAAACGAGCTGAAAAATTTGTTGACATCGGAGGATGATGATATATGCAAAATAAGACAGAATATCGAATCAAGCTAAATGTGTAAATTTAAAACAAATGTTGATAATGATAGATTTACCATTATATTTTCAAGCTGCGCTCGTGAATCAGACGACGCCTCACATAATTTCACTGTTCTATTAGCGACATCTAAGCGAGTTTTGAAAACTTTTCATAAGCAGAGTGCTACAGGGGTCGCTCACCTCAGATGCGAAGGCAAGACGTCGCCGTTCTCCGCCGGATATGCCGAAGTCGCCTCCGACGATACCAATGAGATTATTGGCACACTTTACCAATCCAAGCTTTTACAGCGAAAAAAAAGAAAAAAAGAATCTGAGAATTTTCTGAACGCTTCCTTAATTGTCTGCCGAAAATTGCATTGCATGTTGCTCGTTGGTTCTTTGTTTACCATGGCTTAAAAACGATTTTAGATGTACTGTAGTGAGTTTTCCATTTTTTAAAAATTTATTGATCTTGATACTCGGCTTCCCCAGATGGCCGCAAGCTGATGAAAAAACGGACAACACAAACAACCAAAAAAAAAAAAAAAACCTGAACAAACGTGATACATTCAAACAAATATAAAAAGCCCAGCTTTGTTTGGGCTCTGATTGAGTCCAAATTCCGCATACAGTAACAAAATCAGCTCAATCTTTAAACCCTCATCATATTTCTCCCAACATAGGACATGATTGTTGATTACCTGAGGAATATCTTCAAAAATGCTTACTCTCAAATTCCGTTTTTACAATCTTTGGCAACCACATGTCTTCGTCATGAGAATACATTACACAGAATTGTGCAGCCTTTGATCGTACGTGTAGATATACACTGAAGCATCAGTGGTATCAATGGAATACTGCTGTACTCTCATTATATGAAAGGATCTGGAAAATCAGTTTTCTTATAATATTCGCGATTCATTTTTTTTTTTACATTTTCCGCGAGGTACAAAAAAAATTGAATGTGTGCATATATGTCAAATGATTAGACCTCGTATGTGCACGCGATTAAATACTTAACCACGGGATATTCACCTCAGCAATGACGTCCTCCACGCGAGCCATCTTGGTGTCAGCCGACATGGCGGCCGACGGGATCCGCACAGTGGCCTGGAACTGCAAATGCTCCCTGACTGTGAGATTCGGCATGAAGAGGTCGTGTTGGGTCACGTACGCCGAAACCGCGGTCAACGCATTCGCCCCCGCTGGCGCCCCATTCAGCCGAATGACGCCACTCACCGCCGTGGAACTCTTGGTCCTGCACGTCAGCGCGTTCAACAGCGTGGTTTTCCCTGCTCCGCTAATAATTTGTCGGCAATAATAATGAGAAGCAAATGAAATGCATTAATTGACCAGGAAGCATGTTTCTGAAATAGTCAATAATTGCAGATGATCGTTTGCAAGTGGTGTAGAGAAAGTTTTCTGAAATTCTTGGCAGCATTGAGTATAATGACAGATCTTTGCCCTTGGATATTTGACCATGTTGAAAAGTCAACCCTAGGTTAAAAGGGCCTATTTGGTACCAGACAAAAGTTTGGAGAACAGATTTGATTTTCTTACAGACCGACAGTGAATAAATTTATAGGTTCCTCTTCCAAAATACAAATTAAAATACAATTGAACCCAAAAAACAATGGACATCGTCAAATAATGAATGATACACCTTAGCTGATTGAGCTGTCTTGATTTTTTTCTCAGAAGTTCCACACAGGAGTTGTCAACTTTTTGATAAATGAAGGGAAAATTAGAATTTTAAAAAATGTTTCTCGTTAGTGACTGTGTCTCTCATTTCACAGTTCGAAGCATGTGGTCCGAATACTAAGCGCAGAAGAAAAAGAAAAAAACATTTGATTCGAGAAGACTTGTATTTTAATTTGTATTTCAATGCAGAAATGGATTCGGTGCAACCATTTCACGCTCCATTCTAGTTATTTTCAAATTAATTTAGATTTTCAAATTATTGTACGAGATTTAAATTTTTAACCAAATTTTAATTTGCCAACCAAGGGATTTTTGCCAGAGAACAAAAGTTTCTTGACCAGGGGATCAACTATTGAGATTAATATAAATATTTTCACTATTACACCGTGTAGTTTAAGAATACCATTCACAGGGTGTCAATTTTCTCCATCTATCTCGCCAGAACTCATGTGTACCTGTTTTGTTCCGCTTGAAATATAACTGTGATTTTTTTTACTCCTGGAATTTTCTTTCAAGAAAAAAATCAGGATACTTTTGAAATCTACAACGACCATAGTAAAGTCTCCAAGTAAAATAGTGATTCAGGGAATTTTTCATCTCTACACATCGGCAGATTTATTAGAAAAATATTTTTAAATGTTTCACCTATGTATCTGAAACCAAAAGTTATTGCCTCGCCAATTTGTACCAGCCTGCAAAAATTGTCTTCGGGTTCTGCGGTGTACAAGTATTTCATGAATTGCGTTTTAAAAATATAAATTTTTTGCGATATTCCGGAGTTAGTTGATAGGTAATTGAACAACGAAGCTGAAGGATGATTTTATGCAAAACTAAAAGAGCCTCGTTCAATTGATTCAAGTTTCTGAAATCGTTTATGAACCAGCCTATTATTATTCTTACTATACTTTATTATTCTTAGCATTAAAAAAATTTGAAAAAAGTACTGTACTAGAAGGCATTACAAGAAGAAAGGGCTTGTTTACCTTGCCCCCATGATGGCCAAAAGTTCGCCAGGTCGAACCGTTCCGCTAACTGAAATAACAATCACTAGATACACTTTTACACCCAGCATAGAGCACGCATTAAAAACGATCGTTTTCCATATGGAAGATCCGAAGCATTAAAAAAACAATTGTTTTTAATTAAAGAAGGCGTGCATGCTCATGATTTTTTACAATAAATGCTCTCGAACCGCCTTTGATGATGTGCTTGGAACTCGTGGGGCGCCGAGCCAAGTCCGGGGCGCCGTTCGTCGGGTCATTGGCGTAAACGTTGATGTTTTCCCACGTGACAGTGACATCTGCCCGGTGATCGAACAAACCGTCAGTCATCAGCGCGGATCCACGGCCTATGATTCCAATCCCGGTGTCGTCGCTGCTTCTTTCACTCGCCAAGCTGTCCACGTCTGTCTCTAGAGACGAGTCCTATAAGGAATTACAAAGGAATGGGCATAAAAAACTTGGCATGGATGTTTTTTGTACTCATGGATACTACTAAATTATGAGGCAATGAAGCAAAATTAATTTGCTTAGGATTCCTTCAAGCGCTTTAGTGAAACAACTCAAATCCGAGAGACGGCATTTCGAAATCACGTTGACGAGAGATCGAAGTTCGCTTACCATACTAATCATATTTTGCAAATTTATTTCATGTAGCTTACCAAAATGGATTTTCTTAAGCCTAATACTGCAAATCGAAAAATAAACCTGCAGTCCTTGACAGACTTCGAACCAAAGGCATCTAAAAATTATATGTCGTCAGTCGACCGCCAGAATTAAGACGCAGATCATCCGTTCAAGTATAAAAACACACTCATAAATTAAATATTCCCTTCATCCAAAAGTATCACATAATCTCTCCAATTTCCCGACGCATGTTTCTTATGAATCGTTTTTCAAATCTCCAAAATGCAAGAGGTATTTCAAATGGAACACATGTCATAACCGGAAGAAACAAAACAATCAGAAGTAAAGTAGAAAAAATAGAACAATCAGAATAACTCAAACCTTTAGAGCAATTAGAACAATTCTATGCAACAAATAGAACAATATACCATATTTACTTGAGTACCATGCGCCCTTGAGTAAGGCACGCACAGGGGTTTTTCAGTTGAAAATTTTGCAAAAATCTGATCCCTGAGTAAGACGCGCACCCCAATTTTTAATGGATCTAAAACCATAAAATTTCAAAAATAAAAACCAAAAATTTGACTTTAGGTGTGAATTGAACAAAAATCTGATCAATTTTCAACCTTTTCAGTACAAAAATGTTTTCTTGCTACAGTATATTTGTTTCAAATTTCTCCATTATAATTAAGTATAATGCACACGTAACTTCCTAAAACTTCTTGACAATTTTGTACCTGCTGTCGGGTTAAAGGGGTGGTGTCCCCACCGACAAAGGAAGTTCGAAATAAGATTGAAATATAGGAAAAGAAAGGGTACACAGAATCAGCCGTTATTCGGCCGGGTACCTCTTAATGAGGGCCCTTCAAAATGTGGGATTTTAATTCGGAATAAATAACACAACAGGGTAGAAGCACACGCAGGCGTAAAAGATATTTGCAACTAGAACAACTATTTAGAACCGCTTGTTATCCTATTTCCTGAAGAAATACAAGAATCGGTGAATCTTAAACAAATGCTTACTATTACGTCTAATGGTAAGTTTGTTACCGACCTCGAATCTTGGAATAACTAATTCTATCCTGGGTTTTCACAATTGTCTTCCGCGTACTTTGCGGGTAAAAAGGATTTTTACAGTTAAATAAGTAGGCACCAGGATCTCTGCTGAGAGGCAAACAATATGTATTTCAGTGCACAACAGTCCGCGAGTGAGTCAGGACACGAATGCTGAATAGTATAGGACAGTACATTGGGTTTTAAAGGTGGGCAGCCAACGGGTTCGCGACTCGCTAGCTGGCCCCAAAAGAATAGACGTACACACACACACACGTATGACCGCGAGAGGACAGCAAGCTGGATAGCTGGCTGGCCGCGAAGCAGGTGCGCGTGACGGGCGTATGCATATCTGTATGCATGTAAGAAATAAAAAAGAGAAAGAACAGGGTGCACAAAAACACGTAGAGAAAATAGGAGTCAGCATATTGCTGCTCGTAAAAATAATTTTGGATCACAAATCACCCCGCACAAAAAAGAACTCAAGCTCCCGCGCACAAGTGCATTGAAAGCTAATTAGTTCCGTGCGGCACGTTTTCCTCCAAGAACATGTGGAAATGCATGAACCATGCATACCAGGACCCTTGCTGCTGGTATGCCATACCAGCAGCCAGTTGACAACACTGATGTTGGCTCTGGGGTTGACTCTCAAAATGTCACCCTCCTCAGACAGGTCTGATCTCTGGTGGGTGATTGATCTTTGTGATCAATTGAATGTTTTTAACTTCTCTCTGTGTTTCTACTTTTCCTCTTATCTTTCGTGAAAACTAGTAGAATAACGTTAGTTAAGCCCGTTTGCGCGTTTTTTCGGCGATTAAATAAGTTTAATTCGCGGATCGTTTTGTACGCGGAGCTATCGGCGATATCGGCGATTTTGCGAAAATTGTGAATTTTGATCGCGAAAATCAAGAAAATCGCGTAACGCTGCCTACTAAAAACGTTTGTTTGGGTATTTGTAGGCAAGAAACAATTAGTTTGTGCAAAAAAATCGTGGAAGAGCCGTCAAAAAATCTCGCGATGTGGCTTAACAAGGCAAGTCCCTTAGACAATTTTTCAAATCCGCGGTAATCATAAAAATTCAATGAATTCCAGTTCGGTCTGCTGTGTTGGTGTCTCATGAGTGCGAGTCATCAAGTTTCGGGCAGGTGTGGCGTCCAAGATGGCGCCTTTGTCTGTTCAAACGTTTGTGATGAGGACGTTTCGGACTCGGAGGCTTTCGGGTTTGGAGTGGACTTCGTAGGACACGTTCTGGACTTGAACTGCGTGCGGTTTTACGGTCTTTCGGTATGTTGAAGGTAGATGTCACTAGTTGATCGGTGAAAATGACGCTTGATGTTATTTTTGTTCAGAGCGTTAGATTGTACGCCCGAACTCGCTGCGTTGGGAAGATAACGCCGGCGATCCGCAGGGTTGTTTTGCCCTGGGAATTGTGCAGGGGTGCTGCTGATAAAGATCCAGCAGAGGTTTTTCGGACCCGCACTTTGACGTTGTTGACAGGCACCATGACGGTTTCAGGAACGTTGCCAGGTCAAAAAGTAGAGGTTTCCACCACAGGTAAATTAATTTAAATTAAATTAGTGCTCAGGAATATAAAAATAGCCTATTTTCCAGAGCTGACCATAAAGCAGACTTCGTTTTCCATTCCTGTGGTGCCTGAGGTTGAAAAGACTTTGGAAAAACCCAATGCGGTGACGGTGGGTTATTCCCCCATTT